TTTAAAGGAAAACTTCACTTGGGAGACGGGACATGGGACACGGCACGCTGGAGAGACCCCATACCAACAGCTCAGCTGGGTCATCTGCGATAACAGCGGAGCTAAAAATTGAGAGGGTAAATAAGATACAGGCATTCAAATATGAGATGAAAATTGTAATACAATTAATAATGACTTTAGTTCATTTTTTTTTATCCTGAGTCAGAATCACAATCTTCAACACAAGTTAGGGATACTCCAACCATGACTGATGTAAAGACACGTGATTTACAGCCTGATTGGCAATAGAGATTTGTCTTCACAATAAGAAACAGAATCAATGGCAATATACTGTTAGAATGTACCAATATATACCACTCTACCTTGCTGCACGGAGTGAACAGCCAGTCTACAGTGACAATGATAGTGAGGCTTTATTGAGATCATTACAATCCTTCAACTGTGTGTTCATGAATACATATTTTTTTTTCCCCCAAACTTTAAGATCAAATATTAAACCCACTGAAACAGGTTAGAAGTTTTTGAGTAAGTGAAATCACAAAGGTTGTTATAAACTATGACTACTACAGCAACGAAACAGAAAAAATTCCATCCCATTTCAACACAGGCAAGGCAAAAACACACATATTAAATAAAACAGTGATTGTGAATCAAAATTTGAACTGTATTTAGTTATGTTTAGGTATGAACTTAGGGGATTGACTGTGGTGGTGAAATGAGAAATGGACACATGCAGAATGCTAAACATACCAAAACAAGTTATTGTAAACTCAAGTGATTTGGTGAGAATTAATTAATGAAACAATCAATAATATGCATAAAATATTACCAGTAATGATGTAATCTGGCTTGCAGGAAACACAGATTATATCAGTTGGTTTCGTTGAGAAAGAGGGGTAATAAGAAAAAATAAGAAACAAAAAATGATATATTGTTAAAAAATGTTTGGTTTATTCTTGGGAATGAATTATGTAATGGACACTGTTGAATGTTGTTGTGTTATTTAATGACAGAGAGAGAGAGAGAGAATGCATTATTCCCACCCAGACATCTGAATTCATAAAAAAATAAATAAAAAAAATAACTCTCAGGAGAGCAGAGAAGTTTTGTAAAGAAGTATTGTCATTTGGTGTGCATAGAATGCATTAGTTCTTTACCGGTTAAGAAATATATTTTAGAATATTTTTAACCTAGCAAGTATGTATAAACATTATTATTGCGGTAGTACACTTTTGATTGAACAAAATATATATCTTAGTACTTGTACACATCAGTTCATTTATTTACATCCCTGGGTATCCATGTGCCAGAGATGACACTCAGATTACCGGTACTGTATTTGCTATATTAGAAATAATTTTTTTTATTTTGGTGGTACCTCGAGTAAAACAACCCTGCACTGAGAAATTTATGGTAGCAGAGACAATTTAGGCATGTGCTTTTGGTAGAGAAAATACAGTATATGTACTTTACCACATTTTAAGTTTATACGAAAAAATGAATAATCAGCCATAAAAAAGAAAAACAACAATAAGAGTTTATGAATACTAGTTCAGTTGTTTTAGTTGATAGACTTGATCACTTTGTTAAATGTTAGTCCTACACAGGCCTACACCATCATGTGTAAAACAGGCTACATTTATATATACTTGCATGTGTCTCCCATACCATCTCTGCTGATTAATGCATGCACAACAAATATTAAAACAATCAATTATGTCATCCTGATAGGCATTTACAATGAAGTACAGAATAACATGAATGTTTCAAGTACGCGATGATTCTGGGGACATAACAACTCGTGTTATCAATACTGTGTTTATATTTTGTTATTTACCCAAAGTCTCATTTCGATGGCAACATTTTCTATTTTCACACACGTCATAGGACTGAGGATAAGTAATATGTGACTCTTAACACAACAAACAATGCAGTATCCATGTTAAGCGATACCAATGATAGCACGTACTAGAAAGACCCTCAATTGGCACATGTGT